CGACTAAAAGACCACAAAAACTATTATTTAAAACATAATTAAAAACTTTTTGATTGCAATAAATAACCGGATATTCAGTGTTCAAGACTTGATCCAAATTCTCGGTCTTATAATTGATAACCCGATGACAACCCAACTCTTTGAGGAACTCCTGCTTCTTGTCGTTAGATGTGGTGGCGATTACGTGACAGCCCTTCAGTAGAGCCCATTGGGCGGCGATATGTCCGACACCTCCCGCCGCCGCCGTAATCAACACTTTTTCTCCTGAAGCCAAATGCGAGCCTTCGGACAGACCTATGGATGCAGTCAAACCACTGGTGCCGAAGAGAGCCAAGTATTCCGGGTCTGGCTTTGGGACGACTGTCAGGCCGTCAGCAGACGTCACATACTTTTGGGTCAAATGAACGGCGAGTATAGTAAGGGTTAGAAAGTTATATAATATAACATTAATTATAAATAATTAGCAAGGTAATCACCAAATACTCTGAATATCCCCTTATTTGACCACTACCACATTTGACAACCAGGTACTGGCCGACACTGTAGTTCTTGATAGCACTTCCAGTCTTAACAATTTGTCCCAGAGCCTAATCAATAAGTGAAATATTTTAATGATAATAAAGATATAGTTATGAAAATTGTGGTCAAATCTGAAGACATACTTCAATCCCCAGGGGATAGGGCGGGTCCGAGTGTTTGAAATAGCGTCCGGCAGTGATGTTCAGATCCGTGGCATTGATGCCCACAAAGAGATTCTTTACAAGTATTTCATCACTTTTGGGATCCACTAAAGGCAGCGAAACTATTTTAGTCGCCTCACCGAAGTCGGTCGAGTAGTTGAACACTTGGATCTGTTTGTAGTGACTGTTGGCAGACATTCTTCGTATGGCGTATGCGTTGACACAAAATTTGGGAAGTTTTGCGGTTTTATTAAATACAGACAAATATGTTATGAATTTTTTCCCAAACATTGACTTAATATGAGCTCAAGAGTTGTGTTGAATTTATATACGAAATGAGGTTTAGTTTGAAAATAGAGTTCATTTCATGAAAACAAATTGAAATATGAATTCAATTCAATTAAAGTGTTTTAATCAAAACATTGAATGCGAGTCAACTCACTACAAAATGTCCTTGGATATTATCTTACTATTATTAAGCCAATTACCACATAGTGTATGGCAATCAAAAAGTTTCGGTATATTAATAGTTATTATGCTCGTGTTATGTCAGAGTATATACCGTAGTAGTTGTCCTCAATTAGTACTCAAGAGTTAACAAATACTTACCCTGGACTTCACAATACTGTATTTCATGAGTATATTGTAATCTAGTATAGTTATCTCGTAATATTAATTACTTCATTTATATAACTCTTGATGTTAGCCATGAATTAACTAATTTAATGTATAAGTAAAATGTTATCAATAGATATTATGCAATATTTATAATAAAAACTTTATAATACTTAAAATTATAACACAAAGAAATCTACAGTATTATACAATTTGTATCAATTTAATTGCACTAATATTGCACTCCAATAGCATAGCTATTACTACAGTATAAGTCAAATGAATTTCAACATTAATAGCAGTTTATTGTGATTTTAGCTAAAAATATACACAATTTATAATCGACTTAATTATTAGTCAACAAAT